GTAATTTCTCTGAAGATCATGTTTCTTCTTTTTTAAATACTCTTCCCTTTTAGCTTCTACATATGCAGCTTTTGCCGGTTACTTTAGGTTCAGTCCTAAACGCACAAAGAGACAAAATCATTATTACGATATAAATAAAAGACAAATTTACCAGAAAAATCTTATTTACCTTTTGAGCACACTAGCTAGATATTCCTATTGAACTAAAAATTCTTAACTTTTGCTTTTATATATATCTTTGAAAGTACGTAACGTAACCACACTGGCCAGACCGGACGGCTAATCTCTCCTCGGACCCATTAGAACCAATGTAAAAAGACTCTTATGCCCTTTCAGGGAAATAATGCATGCGATGTGGAAACCAAGGAAGTTTAAGAGCATCTACTTGATGGCGACTTTGTACGTCTTCACGTTAACGCTTCCGTCAGCTTCCGCCGTCTATTGGGCTTTCGGCGACCAACTTCTCAACCACTCAAACGCTTTCTCTCTCCTCCCTAAAACGCGTTTCCGTGACGCCGCCGTTATCCTCATGCTCATTCATCAGGTTCCTATCTAACTTTAATATGTTACAATGTCACAATAATTATACTATACATTAATGGTTGGTCCACTCCCATACCGGTCCATACTAAGAACATTAGTCTCTTTCGTAATGAATTTTAATACTAGTAGCAATGTTATATCTAGGTTATAGACATGTTATAATCCATTCTTTTATAACATGTTACAATCTTAACGTCTAGAAGAATAATTTTTGGAAATATAATGTTATCGGATAATATATGTCTTCAATTTTTTTTTATTTGAGTTTGTTTTTGAATTTACAGTTTATAACGTTCGGGTTTGCATGTACACCACTGTACTTTGTATGGGAGAAAGCGATTGGAATGCACCACACGAGAAGCATATTTCTAAGAGCAATCGTGAGACTACCGGTGGTTGTTCCGATATGGTTTTTAGCCATCATTTTCCCATTTTTTGGTCCTATAAACTCCGCGGTTGGAGCCTTACTCGTTAGCTTCACCGTCTACATCATCCCCGCCTTAGCCCACATGCTTACCTACCGCACCGCCTCTGCCCGTCGGGTAATAGCTACGTTTCTCTGTCGCTAACATTAATACATATATATGAATCCAATGAAATACATTAAGTTGATTAGAGAGTTTTGAATAATAATATATACCCCCAATAATAGGGAAAATAATTGGAGAGAGGTTGAGGTATAACATAGGTTGAATTTACATTTCATGAGCTGGCTTAGACTTTTGCATTTAATCCCAAAATCAATGAGGTAGGACCATCGTATATAATGTGTCACTTGAGTAGTTTAGAAATTTCTATAACATATATTCTCGTCGATGATTACATAAGTACATTAGTAATCCAGACCATGATACGATGTATTAATATATATTTCTTTATATCCAATGACGTGGCAGAACGCGGCGGAGAAACCACCGTTCTTTATACCTAGCTGGGCCGGAGTTTACGTGATAAACGCTTTCGTGGTGGTTTGGGTCCTGGTTCTCGGGTTCGGGTTTGGTGGATGGGCTAGTATGACCAACTTCATCAGGCAAATCGACACTTTTGGTCTCTTTGCTAAATGTTATCAATGCAAACCGCCGCTTCCTCCTCCTTCTCCCGTCACCGGAGATCACCACCGCCGTTAAACTAAGCCGCCGTTAGTGTCTTCTGAAAGTGTGAACCCTTTTTCCATATGTATAAAATGAAAGTACCTACTACTATGTTTCAAGTTTCAACTATTTTTACTTGTGCTATAGAAGTTTGAAATTTCGTTAAAGTCACGTGATTAGCTAGCTGGTTCCCGTTGGATTCGTCACGTCACGTGCCAATCTTCAGTTTTATGACAGGACTATTGGATGCTGACAAAATTGTTATCATTTAATCAATCAGCCAATGCCAATCTGTCATATTGACTCCGAGGACACTATATAGTTACAAAAATTTATATTTCCTCCAAAATTCTACAAATTTGAAATTTCATATACTTATAAGTTCTTTTTTTTTTAAATGTGAGCTAACGATTAACTCCACCAAGATAAAATCCGTACTAGAGTAAAAGGTACGATAAATAATTTATTTTTCCTTTAAATATATTTTATTAATAATTACGGTTTCAAGCTACGACCAGAGTCATACAGTTTTTTTTTTAATAAAAAGTTTACAGAGAAACGAATAGCTTAGCTTAAATGAAATGTAATAGAAACAACAGAATCTTCCGCATTTCAACACCACTTGCATTAGCGGACTCGAGCTCATCGTACCTAATTATGTTCTTGATTCTTTAATACAGTATTTGTTTTGTATCATCATTCTTGTTTTTGGGTCAAGAGAGAGCTATGAGTTTATCTATCAAGAGAAGATGGTTTCTCGATGTCAAGTCCTAACAGGCTTATTTAGGCCCAATAGTTTGGGCTTTGTATTGAATAGAGAGATCTTTGCGAGCGTTCTCTCTCCTCTCACCAGAGAGAATTTGAGTACTCGCAGATATGGCGGTTTCAATATCTTCATCTTCTCCGCCGGATTATTCATCGGAATCACAGATTCTCTGGTTTTTTCTTCTTCCATTTCTATTTTGCTTTTGCGGTATCATCGCCGATGATTGATTCTCCTTCCGGTTGCAAAATGCTCGAGAGAGGAAAAAATTTCACGGTAATTCTTCTCTATCTGTTGTTGCGAAGCTCGATTTTATCTGTTTTTGAAAACTTCTGTTCAAAATCGGAGGAAAAAAAACGATGAACAATGATTGTGATTTTGTGGAGTTTCGTTAGGGATAATTCTCGATTCTGAGATTTACTTCTTATTTTGTGTATTATGTTTCAGTCTTTACTTACAATAAGTTATATCTCTACAGTTTGTGAATAAACGAAACAATTTGATTATGATGCAGAACCAATTTCACAAATTATGCAATGATCTGATACCAATCTCCACATTGCACTTCCTTGTTCAATTTCGAATTTCTTGCTAAATTTATTCCACAGATGCAACCCATAGCTTCTCTTCTGCATCTGACCAAGCTTGATTTTGACCCATTTCGTATCTTTCTCTGTTTTAGGCACTTTGAAGAACTTCTCTATCTCGAGCCAGTTTACAAGATAGAACACAGACGGTCGCATGACGGTGAAGTTATACTCACTGGATCCTTCCACGGCTCGAGCCACTCGAGAAACCAGGTATGGTCCGTTGTATCCCCATATGTTTCCATTGAATGTCTGAGCGAATTCTTCGATGAATTTTAGTAAGAGAGGATGATTCTTGTCGAATATTAGCACTGCGTTGTTCAATCTCGTCCAATTTGTCGATGAAGGATTAAGAGTTTGAGCTCCAATTACATTCCTTAGACCTTTGAAACTTTTCAGAACAATCATGTCTGTGTCTAAGTAAACACCTCCATATTTGTACAAGTAAGCAAGCCTCATGAGATTTGAGAGATTCTGAGCTAATGAAATCTTGCCTGGATCTCTTTTCCCGGTCTTTATTTCCTCGAGCCACGATTCTCCCGCGGTTCCTTTGAGTAGAAAAGGCAAATCGGGTGTGACTGCAAGAACTTTGTAACCACGATCAAGAAACGGCTTCAATGTTGTATAACCTTGAGGAGAATCCATTGTTGCAGATAGGATCATCAAGCAACCACGAGGATGAGATTTAAAGACACTTTCGATAGCGAAAACCTCTCTATTGCCGAAGAACTCTACAGATGAAATCCATGTCATGACGAAGTTGACTTCACATCCTTTACCGATGAACTCTATTACCCTTGTTTGAAACTTCTCAGACAAGTTTTTCCCACTGAAAACCTCAATAACTTGGAGCTTCTCGTTTACTTTGATGTTCAGGTTAGGAGAAGTGATCATCACTTGTGTCTCCTGCTTGATCGGATTATTGCTTTTACCTTCTTTCTCAGAGCTTAGAGGTAAGTGTGGAATCACTCTCTTGATCTCTATCTTCACTTCTGAGAAATCTCTTTGTGGTTGCATAGAGAAATTAGACATTAGGACCAAAGTGGTAACCACAATTAGAGTAATGAAGCTGATCGCAAACGCGGTGAAAAGTGTTGATGATCCAGATTGGTGTAGCCTTCTGTGATCAATCATCGTAGTGACTCTCTTCTCTGTATCATGATGATCCATGATAAAGTGAATTGTTCTGAATTGGAAACTAGCAAAAACAAAAAAAAGGGAACAAATTTAGATAGATGAGAAAGAAAACATTTGA